ATATACAATTATAAACTTATAATTTTATATAATATCAAATAAAATATGATATGATATTAAATAAGTGGATGCATATGACCTCTAAATGGAAAGAGTTAATTGTATAATGACATATTATATTGTAAACTTACAATGTTACATGACATTATAACTATAGTATTTTCAATTCCTAATTATCCAAAGATTTTGTTTGTCATTAATTAAGCCTAAACCTATTAACATAAAACCTAAACCTATATATAGTTAAGATTTCCATTAGTTGTCTAGCTATTTCCTATGTGTACTTGAAGTTTTCTTGCCATAAACCTATATATAGTTAAAATTTCCATTAGTTGCCTATTTCCTATCTGTAGAGGGATTTTTCTTACCATAAAACCTATTAATTAACATTCTATATAATTCTCAAAGTATTAATGACAGGATTTTTCTTACCATAAAACTTATTAATTAACCTTCTATATAATTCCCAAAGTAATAATGACAACTTCCTCCCCTTTATGAATAAATAGTTGTTTATTGAACAAATCATTCAGAGTGGACCAAGAAAACACAATAGCTTTATTGAAACACTATAGGTGTTTGAAAATCTGTCAAATGATCAAGCTCTTTCTGTTCCAAACTTTTTACGTTTTCCTCATCTTCATGGTACTCAGTTCAGGTAATCCTCACTATCTTATCAACAAATATTGTTTATGATTTTTTTTTTTTTCCTATCATTGCTCTGTCTCTCAATTAATTAATTAATTAATGTTAGAACTAGACACATATATAAGTTGATCAAGACATTTATTTATGACCACTTTCTGTTCTTTTTTTGATGGTATAAATGGTCAAGAGCGAATTGTGTGAAGAAGCTTTGGGAGTATCTAAAGATGACTGCAATTCGACGTGTGCATCCAAGTATATCCTAGTGGCAGAGGATCATACAACATTTCATTTAATTCTTGCATATGCTTGCATCATTGCGACAATCCAACACCAACAACCAAAATGGTTAACAGGACATGCTCTATTATACTAGATCCACCTCGTCAAAACTGTAACGAGGCAAGTTGCAAACAAAAATGTTTTACCAACTATGGGGACAATTTAATTGATGGATTTTGCTATCCCCCTGGAAAGATGTCACAATCATGTCGTTGTACATTTAATTGCTAGATAACACCTCTAGCATTGCAATAAAATTCTGGCTCCAATGAGATTAAGTTGTTTTTATTTCATTTTAGCTTAAATAATCTAACATCTTTTTAGTTATTGGGCCTTATGATAACCTAATTTTTAATTTAAGTGTCACTTTAACAAATTTTTATAAAAATATAAAAAAATTAAAAATTACCCAAAAATTATAAAAAAAAATCATAAAAAGTCAAAAAAAAAAGATAAAAAAAGATTTGTTTTAAAATTAAAATATCTAAGTTATTTTGTTTTTAAATGACAATGACAAAAGACTTATCTATTTTATTTTGTTTCAGAACTTAATTTTAAGAAAACAAATGTGAAGGGGAGAATTTAAGACAAGAGAGGACAAAGCAGGATCTAATAATTTGAAGAACGCAAGGACTCAAATGCACAAAGGAGCAAAACATTAAATGGATCAGACCTAATCTACAAATTGGAAGAAGTAAAAACGCGTAACCAAACATGGATGGAACTCAGAAACTCCAATAACCAAGCCTCTCCTAGGCTCAAATCTAAATCCATTCTCAAACCTAAACCTCCTCACATAAAATTCTCCTATGGCA